AGAAACATACCAAGGGAACATGAATCAAATATGCACTTTTATTCATTTACAATAAACTCATAAAGTACATCATTCTGATTGAAGCTAAAGGCATACAAAACTGTCCAACAAAATCGTGCCAGGCTACGAACGGCACGCCCTAATTTACACGTCTATGCAAGGCTATGGAAACTGAGATTGTTGCATTGGAGCTCCACCAAACATGGCCCATTGTGGATCTACCTCTTCGAAAGAAACCAATGGGATCAAAATGGGTATATAAATTGAAGCTTCATGCCGATGGAACCATTGAACGCTATAAGGCATGAATAGTGGCTAAAGGTTATACACATATTAAGGGCCATGATTATTACAATACATATGCTTCTGTGGCTTGTAATTCTACAGTGCCTTCTCACCCTTGATGCTATAAAGGGATGGGAACTACATTAGCTGGATGACACTAATGCCTTCTTACATGGTGATTTGTCTGGAGAAGTATATATGATCATTCCTCTAGGCTTTCCTAAACAAGCTAAGAACAAAATTTGTAACCTGTAGAAATCTCTATATGGGCTCAACCAAGTCTGTTGTTGTTGGTTTGAAAAATTTGCTATTGTTCTAAAGAACTATGGTTTTACCCAACCAGTTGTGGATTATTCATTATTTACCTCCAACCTTTCGGATTCATTTGTGGTTGTCCTTGTGTATGTTGATGATCTAGTTATCACTAAGAATGATGTTGTCCGCATTATTGATCTTAAGACCAACCTTCATGGCTAATTTCATCTGAAAGATCTTGGGCTCCTCCTAGAGATGTCAACGATATTTGAAAATCCGATTTCGAATTTGAGATTCAGCATAATCGAATCAAATTCGGATAATTTGAATATCTAATCAGTTGAATTCGGGTATCCTATTTATATCGAATAGCTATTCAGATTCAAATTCGGATATGACCTTATTCGATTTGATAAATATTCGAATTCGACCAATTATTTAATTCTTATATATAATATATAAAATATTTAACTGTCATATATAACTTATATATATAATAATTAAATTATATGAATAATTTATATATTTATATACTTTATATAAATAAAATATTTATTTTATATACTTATTAACTACCTAAAATAATTAATTAATCGAATTCAAATTGAATCAAATATTCGAATATTTAATTAGATTAGAATTTGCATATTAATTTTCAAAATTCATCGGATATCGAATCGAATTTTCTAATTGGGTTCGAATTTGGATATTGCCTAATCCAATTCGAATTCGATCCATTTACACCCCTAGCTCCTTCACTATCTTTTTGGGCTTGAAGTCACATTGTTCCATTATGGAATTTTTGTGTGTCAACATAAGTGTGCCATGGACATCATCACTGAAATAGGTACGACTGATTGCAAGTCTGTCTCTCATCCTACCGAGTAGCAAAAAATAGTTCGTTGAAATGGATTGGCCGCTATTGAATGATCCAGCCCAACATCGACAACTCACTGACTACCTTGTCTACCTCACCACTATCATGCCCGAATTCACTTTTCTAGTTCACATGTTGTCACAATTTATGCATGATCCCCGAAAACACATGCAAGCTGCTCTTCATGTTTTACGTTACATCAAAGCAGCTCCAGCTTAAGGGATTTTCTTTGCTTCATCTAATGATTGCACCCTACAGGTTACTGCGATTCTTTGGACCAATATCTTTTTACATAGAGATCAATTATAAGATATGTCAACATGGTTGGAACCTCTCTCCTATCATGAAAAACAAAGAAACAAGCCACTGTTTTTCGATCTTCCACATAAGACAAGTACCGTGCCATGGCCATGGCTACTACAAGTGAGTTAGTATGGCTCAAGTGCATTCTTCATGACCTTAGTCTTTCCTTGCAGCAACCTATTCAACTCCACTGTGATAGTCAGGCAGCTATCCACATTGCAAGAAATCATGTCTTTCATAAACAGGTGAAGCACATTGACATTGATTGCCATTTTGTTCAGGAACACGTCTTGAAAAAGGACATCCATCTATGCCACCTTTTGCACCAAGTCTCAACCGGCTGATATATTTACTAAAGCCCTAGGGGCTGACCAATTTCATTTTCTTGTACAAAAGTTGGGTGTCACACTATCCCCACCTTGAAGGGGGTATTCTAGAATATTCAACTATTAATCAGTTATAACTAAGTTGACATGGCAATACAAATTGGCCAAGTGGGTTAACCTAAATCTGTTTATATATGTATCAGTTCACATACGAATACACTACCGTTTTCTTCTCATTTTCTTTCAAGCTCTGTTACGTTTGCCGCACTATATGTTTTCTGCTGTCTCTATAAATGTGGCAATTTAGTATTGAATCCAGATTTTGATAGTGGGGGTGAAGGTAAGACTAGGAGACCACCAAGATTTTTTAAGGGGTTCCGGGCCGTAAGTCGGCTGTAACAGACTTACGGCCCTGATTGTATACATCAAAAATTCATATGGAATAAAAATTTAAGATTTTTTTTTCAATTTTTTTGTTCGTAGTTTATTTTAATTTCATCATTATCGTTCTTTTCAAATTTTCTAAAAAATATGCCACTCATGGCCCAATCCAACCTGACACGCCATGGGCCATGCCAGGCTTCCCTTTTAAGGGGTTCCGGGCCAGGCAGACATGGCCCATCCAGGTCCACATAATGGAATGGCACGGCCCATTACAGTGCGACTGGCCCGCACAAGAGCCGATACAGCCCACATTATAACTCTAAAGATGAAGGGTATAGAAAGGGGTAGATGAAAAATGATTTGAGGATCCATATTACAATAGAACTGAAACTCAAACTAGGAGGCCACCAAGATCGGTTTCTGGCTAATATCTTTTTACCTTTAGCGGGTAAGGCAGTTATTCGCCACTGAAAGATGAGGAGTGACCTGTCAAGGTGAAGGGTATAGAAAGGTGTAGATGAGAAATAATTTGAGGACTTTACGATACACAGAGAACTGAAACTCATACTAGTGAGCCTTTTAGTTTGAGATGAAAATGCTTTTCTGAACCAGGAGCTCAAAAACCACCAGAACTCAAAACTGGTAACAACAAACCACCTCTCAACACTGGTAACTCTATTTTGCTTTAATTACCAATCTCCATCTCCTAAGGTCATCATGTTTGCTTCTTTGACCTAGTGTTTATAAAACGGATGCATGCTCATTGCTTGTGCACATCCATACACAAGTGCCCTAATAAATTTTTCAAATTTCAAGACTCCATGCAGTGATGCCAATGATTGGTGTTTCAATGCACTCACTGATTCCGACCATGAGAAAGGCAAGCGCGTCCAGAAAAATGAGGTAGACCAACTCTTTACTCTTCAGGACGATATCGATGACGAAATATGAAAGGGCTTGATTGAAAACAATTTTCTGGTGCAACACATGATGAACATATGAGAAAACCTTATATAATTAATAAAATTGAGAATTCTTTATACAAAATCATATATATTATGTACATCCATATAACACTACTACCCAGCCTGAATTTGTCCGGTGCCAATTGGCCTTTTTTTTTTTTTTTCTTTCTTTCTTTCTGGTTGCCAACATCAAGAAATTTGTACGGAAGAACAGATTTGGATTGTGATTAAAGATATTGGCAGGTGGAAGAACCTACCTTTAACTGCTTTTACCATTTGTAAAATGAGACTATTCAAATCAAATAGCAAAGTTGGAATTTACAATGACAGTACATTACATACAACACATGAACGGGCCGGAGCCGGGGAATACTTCCTCATCTTGCTGATTTACCATCCCTGCTGAGGTTCTCCCAGCTGATCTCCTGTGCGCATTCCCCACACACAGTTGTGCAACCGGCTTTAGTTCCCTGGCTCCTAAGGGTTAGCAAATGTGAAAGGTTGGTGCATTTTCGCTGTAACAAGCGGTTCCTTGAAATACCCCTGGTTTGAAAGTCCGTGCTCTCTGGTGCATGTGAGCAGACGCTGCTAACAGTTGGCTTCTGATCAAATGATGACTCATCCATGGGAACTCTCTGTGAAATGCCCTCTGCTGCAGGCGGGCAGGTACTAGCAACAGTTAGCTTCCGTTCAAATGACGACTCATCCACAGAATGTCTTTGGATTTCCTCCCACTCTAGAGTTCTCCGGAATACTTCCCATGCCATGTCCTGCTCCTCCTTGGATAGCTTTTCATCCTCATTTTCTTGCAGAAGTGTTTCATGTTCATGATAATTTGCAATCCACCTGAATGAAGTATTATGCACTCAACTTAGAGGGAGAGGGTTTGATCTCCATGAGTACAAAAAGAATATGCAATTCCACATAACAATTCGTAAGTGATTTAGGCAGTATTGCATGTAGACAGACGCAGGATTTGGAATCCAATGTGCGCCCAAATGTTAAGACTGGCAGGAACTAAACAAATAGTAGTAAGAACTAGAGAAACTTGAAAGTTCAATATGCACCCTGCACATATTAGCTCCCATGTTGGTACAACACAAGAAAAAAGCATGCAGCCAAGAAAGCGATACTTCAGTAATAATTAGATGACAACAACTCGGAAGTACACCAAAGGAAGATAAATTGATAGTTTGATACATATGCACTACATTGTTCTGATTGAAACATTTTAAATTAAACATCGACTACAATAATAAACATGGAGTTGCTGACAGAATTAACTCGATTTCAAAACAATGACCAATTTATAGCAATAAGCTTAATGAACTAGAACTTTGATCTACAAAGGCCCAAACAAACGAGAACACCCCACCCCACATTGTCACTCATTGAAATCCTAACCTATCCTGTGGTGGCAGGGAATATCTTTACGTGACATACTACAGATTTAAGATATCTTGACACTAAGGGTGCAACTCGGGTTGGCCTGGATTAACATTTTACACTGCTTAGGGTTTGGGGTTTGGACCGGGCTGGCCCAAGTTGCACCCCTACATGACACAGCACAAGAGACTTTAAAACCCCAGAAAGGGGCAGAGTAATAATAGGTTCTTTTTTTCTTTGAAATTCTACTTCATCAATAGATAATCAGGACTACCCCCAGGAATTGGCAAGGGCTGATAATCCCAGAGGATAGCAAGGATTGAATTCAAGGGAGTTTGAAAGAAAAATTAGCTGGAAAGAAGTTTGAAAGCAGATGAAAGGATGACGTTGTTTTTTCCCTGACTAAGATCAGGATCCAGGCCCAACATTTAATTGAACATTGAGGGAAACTTCAGGTTTTAATTGACTTCTAAGATTCTGTAATCAACAACTAAGGAAACAATGCTGCATTTATGGCATCAATCCCAAGAAATATGGGGCTGCTGAATCTTCCATCTCAGTCATGGAGTGTTTAAGATAACTTTCAAGGTTCTCAGATGCGTGTTTTAGTGGGAGGGGGTGGTAAATACAAGCAGAGCATGCTTACCAAAGGCAGGTAAATTGTAGATAACATTGTGGCAGTTGATGTGTGGAAGAATGAAAAACAATTGTCTTGGCAATGGTATTTTGGTAAACTGTCTTGAAAAGATTGATATAATTGTTTTTTAATAGCAGTCAAGTCCATTTCAAGGGCTTCTGTCGATTATCAGAGAGAGGACAGAAAGTGTGAAGTTCCTCCTTAGGTATCATGTGAGAATGATTCCCAGAGAAATAGAAGGTTTGCTAAACCGAAAAACCTAGAAGTTTCAATGTCTTAGGTATCAATGCAAGAATATTATAGTCTTCGCCTGATGTTGACCAATTTACTACCTGTCATGTTTATCTTTGGGTTGTGGGAGTAGCTTGGCCTAGATCACTACAAATAGTCTCTTTAATAAGATAAATTCATGAAGAATAATGTACTTCAAAACTCCTAAATCTGGAGTTCGCATGGAACCAGAGAAGGCAGAATGAATACACAAGTAGGAGAGAAAGAAATCTGAATATTGAGATGGAGTTCAAACAGCAATACACATGGAGATGATTCTTGAAGGCTGAAGCAAAAAAATTTGCTGTTCAAGAAAACCAGAATGCAAGGTAAAATATCGTTGAAGATGAGGGAGGATGAAGAAGCCATGGTAATACTGGTAGAGGCTGATGTAGTTGAATGGCTTCGAGGTTGTCTGGATGGGGCACTAACTGCCAACAGAAATGCAGAGTGGAGAAGCTCGAAGGAAGGGAATAATAGGAGATACACAGCAGAGAGAAGTAATGCCAAAGGCAGGTTTTTGGCTGTATTGGAAGTGTTCGGTGAAAGCAAGAAACAGTTAGTCTGCTTGCCTGAAGAAAAAAAGGTGTAATATGAAAGGAGATTAGAAGCATCATGCAGGAGTTTCTGAAAGTGCAGAAGGAAGAGAAGTCTCCAGAGTCTACAGAAGTAGAAAGCTATACTTCTGAGAAAGAAATGGGGGTCAACTTGGTAGTGAACGGCCTAGGTATTGGGAAGCTAACCTGTGGAATAGACTTGCTGGAGGATGAAGTGGAAGTAAGTGCATTGAACTTCCAGTTAACAGAGGAAACAATCACAGTTACAAAATGGTCCCCTAGCTCAAACTTGAAGGACTTAAAATTGATGGATGGAGTTACAGTCAGAATTGTTGGACTGCCTTTCCACCTAAGAAAGAGGTGTTTGAGTCCATTGCTTCGTTATGTAAGGCCCGACTTGATGATGTTTGCATCTTAGATCTTCGATCAGCAGCCATTAGACTGAGCGGAGTTAAACCTCATGAAATCCCAAGGAAAATTGAAGTCTGCCAACAACTGCTTCTACACAGTTTGGCTTCTATCCTCCATTGAAGCTAGCTTGTGGAGAGAGTCCAGAAGGGAGGAAGAAGAGAAGGTAGAGGAAGATTATCTAGGTGACCATCATCGACTAGCCAATTTCAAATTGGCAGTCTTACACGTTTTTGGAAGGTCCGAAAAAGAAGAATATAAAARCCTCGCAAGCAGGGGAAAATGTTGAACATGCAAGGCAAGAAAAAGGAGGGAGCAAGACCTATGCCCAAGCCCTGACAGATGGAGTAAATGCACAGCCATCTGTTCAAACTTATTTGACCAATGTTGGGCCATCAATTGAACCTTCCAAGCTTTTGAGGTTTGAATTAGGATCACCACATGGAAAGGCCCCTGCGAACCAGCTCTTAGATGGGCCTGCGTTATAAACTGGGCCTAAGAGGGGAAATGCTTTAAACCAAGTTGGGTTGGCCTCTAATGAATCAAATAACTTAAAGGGCCCTCTGAGTGAGCCTAATTCTAAGAAAAATTCAAAGGTGGGGAGATCGGTTTTACAAGATGGGCTGGTTATAAGAGAGGGACCATGTGCGCCTTTAAGTGGCCAGCTACAAAACAGACGGTGGAAAGCTTTGATTGGAGACTGAGATTGGTCTCATACTCCACAACTCCTAAGCGCACCAACGCAAAGTTTGACTGCCAAGAGGGTAGATGAAGAACTCTTCGATTTGGACTGGGTGCAATGCAAAGTAGGAAAATCTGAAGATGGGGTTTCATTTGAAGAGTCCAGTCTAGGCAGCGTAAAGAGCATTTCAAAGCTATCATTGGCAGATGCAGATTTTGGAACACAGCTTCTCTTTGGAGATGTATCACTGACAAAAGCATCACTTTCTTTGGATCATGATAGGAACAAGTTGTCAGTGGGTCGCCCTACGGGTGAGGTCAATCCTTTGACTCAAGGTGAAGGAGAACCGGTTCTGGGTCCAGAGCTAGGCCAGGAAATTTGTAGTCCGAGTTTATCTTCTCCCAATTCCAAAGGCAAAGAAACAGTCTCTCCCTGCTCCCCTTTGAGTGCGTCACAAGACAACTTGGAGGAGAGACCCCATAGCGAAAGCCCTTTCCTTCACAAGTCCTTTGGGTCTAGAAAGATATCGGGTGTTGGAACCTCCGATATGTTGAGTCAACCCACTGTTTTTCATAAAGTTTATTGTACTAATCCCTCCCCTTCCCCTGTTGTTGATTTTGTCCAGCTTACAGGTGACGCCCCATCCATCCCAGATGCTGCCTGCCCCAGTGAGTTTGAAATAACAGAGGTCTTAGGGGAGGTGGGAGGGGTAGAAATTTCAAGGGAGGAAGGAGAAAGGATTTGGACCTTAGTAATGAAAACCTTTCACATTCTAGTAGAGGAGGAATTAGGCAAAGACCTGGAAAAGGAAGAGGAACACTCCAAATCCTGCAACTAGAGGGAAAGGCAAGGAGTGCTCTGAAAAAGATACAACGACTAAAAAAAACAAAAAGGAAGGGCAGAAGAAGAGTCAGAAAAGAGAGAAAGCCACAGGTCAAGAGGAGAGTAAAAAGGTCTTAGGAGAGATACCAAAGAGGAGAAAGAAGCTGAGTGAGGTGGAGAAGCTCAGGTGTGGAGTGGACTATGATAAAGGTGGCACCAGAAGGAAGGGAAGGAAATTGGATTAGGTAGGGGTTGTTTTTAAGGTTTGATTTCATGATGAAGATAATCAGTTGGAATGTAAGAGGTTTGGGGAGTTCAAGGAAAAGAAGAGTGATTAGGGTAGTATATAGAAAAGAGAGACCAGACATTGTGCTAATCCAAGAATCAAAGCTATTCGAAGTAGATAGGAGATGGGTTAGGAGTGCCTGGGCTTCTAGAGGACTAAGCTAGACTTTTGCACAATCTTGGGGGGTCTCAAGGGGAATTCTCTGACAATCTGGAAAAATGAAGAGTTGGATTGCTCCGAGGAATTAATTGGTAGCTTCACGGTTACAACACAAATTAGGAGACAGGATGGGTTGGAATGGGCACTAACAAATGTTTATGGTCCAAATTTGTACAGAGAAAGGGAGGAGCTTTGGCAGGAGCTTGCAGCTATAAGGGGACTATGGGAGGGTTGGTGGATTTTTGGTGGTGATTTTAAGCATGAGGAAGTTCAACCACTTTGTGGACTCCTTTGAGTTAAAGGAGTTGTCAATGCTACAAGCTAATTTCACTTGGTCTAACTTTCAAGAAGAGCCCCTCTGCTGCAAGTTAGATAGATTCCTTCTCTTGTCAGGTTGGGAGGAATTTTGGAGAGGGATGGCTGTAAGAGCTCTACCTAGAACTACGTCAGATCATTGCCCAATTAGACTGTCACAAGAAAGATTGGGAGGTCCATGTCTGTTTAGATTTGAAAATATGTGGCTGCTCCACCCAGAATTTAAAAGGAAAGTAAAAGATTGGTGGGATGAGGACCACATAGCTTTTAGATGGAAAGGTTATAGATTCTATAAGAAGCTACAAAAGCAGAAAGCTAGGATTA